CTCCTGGAGACTGATGTGGGGCCTGATCTTGCGACCCTGAGATCATGACCTGAGCCAGAACAAAGAGTTAGAGGCTTAGCCAACTGCGCCATCCAGGGGCCACAGGGGTATACCAGTTTAGAAGTATTAAATCATCCTGGTGAATTACTCCTTGGTGGTTCCTCTTTTTCTCCAATGGAGAATTTTACTGTAACATATGTTTTGTCTGGTAATATAACGGTATCAGCTTTCTTTTGGTTTGAATTGGTCTATGTTTCCCCATTCTATTACCTTTGCTTCTCCATATTACTATTTTTAAGTATGTCTCTTATAAATAGTATAGCCAGAATTGTGTGTGTGTGTGTGTGTGTGTGTGTGTGTGTGTGTGTGTGTATGCAAGTGTTTTTTATCTGAGAGTTTTTTAACTGGCATGATTATGATGTCTACGGGACAGAGACCATCTTAGAGTGACGCTGAGGGTGACAGCCACATCCTAAGAACATGGAACAGAAAGATAAAAGAACCCGGGGATATTAATGACATAATGGAGCTCCTGCACCAGCCTTTACTGCTCACCTCCACACACTAACTGAGGAAAAAATAAACCCCTAATTGTTAAGTCACCTTAAAATGAGTTTTCTGTTTCGTTCCACTGTGAACCAATTTCCAGCTGATTATAGAGCAGCTATTTTGGAAGTTATCCTTGTATATTTTTTCCTTCTTTCTCTTTCTCTTCTTTCCTCTCTCTATCCCTCCCTCCCTTCCTTCCTTTGTGCTGGTATTTCTATCTGCCTCTGGAATATCAAGAACCTTAGAATATTTACATTCTAAACCTTTGCCTTAAATTATAATTGTGAAATGGAATTTCGATTTGCCTTGTTTGACAACTCTGGCAGTTTGTTATTTCAAACATGATTAATACAGATTTGCCCATGTTTACTGCCATTTCTGTCTTCATCATTGCTTCTGAAATTCTATTCCTTCCTTTTATGTAAGTTTCTTTTCTTTTCTTTCTTTTTTTTTTTAAAAGATTTTATTTATTTATTTGCCAGAGAGAGGGAGAGAGATCACAAGCAGGGGGAGAGGCAAAGAGAAAGGGAGAAGCAGGCTCCCTGCCAAGTGGGGAGCCTGATGAGGGACTCAGTCCTCAGACCCTGGAATTATGACCTGAGCCATAGGCAGACGCTTAACTGACTGAGCCACCCAGGAATTCCCTATGTAAATTTCTTTCTTCTTGTGGTGTATCTTTAGTTGTTCAAAATCTCATCACATAGACCAAGTCCATAGGTGGATGGGTGCCTCAGGTACAAGGCCTTAAGTGCAGTTAATGACAGGGATAGCTCCTATAGATACGAAGCCTGTGAATTAGACAAGTTTTCTGTCCCTCTCCACCTGACGTGTAATGGTGGGACAGGCATGAGACAACTTAATTAACATAATTAATTAACATACAGTGTATTATTAGTTCCAGAGGTAGAGTTCAGTGAGGTTATCAGTTCTTGATGAGAACTCAAGAGCTCTACTAATTCTTCATGGCTCTTGGTTTTACCTCCTGGAACCTTGGATCCATCCTGAGTCATCCTCCTTGTCCACAAAAGGTAACCCATCTTTGTAGGTTTAGTTTTCTCAGCCTACTTCCTGCCTGTAGGAGTTTGAGTGTCTGGAGTCTTTTTCCTTTTGCACTGCTTCTGACCCTTTCAGTTCAAGCTGGCAAGCAGTGTTCCTACCCATAGAATTCTCTTAAAAACGTCATAGTTGTCTTTGACTTTTTTGGGGTTCACTCCGTTAAGCAAAACCACGCCTGCACACCTTTTTGAGACAAGCCCTTCTCTACCTTGGTTTCTGCTCTCGACTCCCAAGTGGCAATACCCTTCAGCTTCTTGGAAGCACTAAAATTTGACTGAATGGTTCTTAACAAAGCATTTTCCAGCCATGCACTCAGCTTCATCTTCATACCAGGTTTTCCTGAGCTTGTTCAGGATTTGATCTTTGCCTTGGAACCATTTCTTAATTTTAGCATTGTTTGCCATCTGATGAGGCAGAGAAAATTCAAAGCCAGCAGATCCTGGCAGCTTTTTAAGAAACCTCCTTTAGCTTCTCTCTTTGCTTTCACATTTTACTTTAAGCAGCAAGAAGTCAGATAGCATGTTCAACACTTGGAATTCTACGTAGCTGAATCACCTCCCCTGAAGTCTATTTCTTACTTCACATATCTCAGTAGGCATTAATGTTTCTGCCACTACATGACAAGGGTCTCCCACCTTCCAGTTTTCAATCATATTTTCTTCACTTTCCTTTAAGCCCTTGCCTGTAAAGCCTCCTCAGAGTCTACCAAGCTTCTACTAACCAGCCATTTACTTATTTATTATACTATTTGTTCAAAGCTCTTCAGCCTTGCACTTAACAACCTCCTCAAACTCATTCAAATTTTCCATACGCTCTCCAATGTCAAAGATACTCCCACATCCATTATGGCACCACAACACTTGGAAGTACCCAAATCCGTATTGTCTCCCGTTGTGTAACAAACTGCCCAGAAACTTAATGGCTTAAAACCATAATAAATGTTTATTAGTTCAAACGGTTTCTGTGGGTCTGGAATTTGGGAGCAGCTTAGCTCAGTCTTTGGGTCTCGTATGGTGTTGCATGGAGCCTCAGTCATCTGGAGGCTCTGATTCCATGATGACTCACAAACATGGCTGACGAAAAAGTGGCAGTTGTAGCCAGGAAGGAAGTTTCAATTTCTTAGCCCATGGAACTCTCCAGAGGGCTGCTGAGCATTGTTAGCATATGGTGTTGGCTTCTCCCAGGGGGAGTGATCCAAGAGGCAGCAGCAAGGCAGAATCCCCACTGTCTTTTATGACAAAGACTTGGAATGTCATTTAGACAATATCTTAGTGGTTACATAGACCAGCCCTAACTCAGTGTGGGATGGAAACACAGAAAAATAAGTCCAGGAGAAGAGATTCTGTGGAGCCGTCTTGGAGGTTGGTGAACACATAGTCCAACAGGAAGGCAGTGATTTTACTTTTCAAAATGGGTTTTGTTTTAACTTCTTTGATTCTTATTTCAAAAGAAATAAATGTTGGTCACATAAAATATACAAGTAAACAAAAAATATTTTTCTAGATACCCCAATACCCATACACTTTGAAACTGTCACATTACATCCGTAGGTGTATGCTTCCTTTTATAATTTTTACATTTTAAGGCCTTTACTGGTAGAGGCTTCATAAAATACATCTGAAGATGCATTGAACATGTTTTCCTGGCATTTAAAAATGAACAAACATCTCCAGTTCTATTAAGGGATGTTTTTATACTAAGGGCTTTTTTCTCCCTCCATTAACTAAGTATTGCCTTTTCTTCTTATTCTGCTGGTGGGCTGGGAGTTCTCCATGATACCTATTCTTTAGAGTTGAACTTTTGACAGGGTTCTTTTTCCCTCTGGAAAGCCCTTGGACTTCAAAAGTGCTTTGAATTGGAAGCACTTGGAATTCAGAAGCCACTAAAACCCTTAATGCCTTTGGAATGCTGGACTAACCAGTTTTGGAGAGAAATCTTATATACCTGGCTCTCCTGAGTTGCACAATTAGAGCTTTGACATAAACATGGCCCTCACCCCACATCCATCCTGAAATCAGAGACCCATCAACCAGCTGAATCACGGTTCTGCTGACTTCTGCACAGAGCCCAGGGTTCCTGACAGCGCCATTCTACTTGCTCCGGAGGGAATGCTCCAGGCTGAGGAAGGAAGATGGTTCCCAAATCTTGGGTATTGCAGGAACGAGCAATTTAGTCCATGCAGAATAGAGAGCTCTCTTTTCTAAGAGAGAGAGTAAATACATGAACGATTATTTAGTCCATGTAGAATAGAGAGCTCTCTTTTCTAAGAACAGGTCTCTAGAAAGGCTAGTTTTAGTGATGCTTTCAGAGTCAGAAGGGAAAAAAGGAGCTTCAAGAAACCAAGAAAGTTCCCAGCTTTGGGATCACTGGAATCCACATGCTTACTCCATCATCACCCTGTCTTCCTCTCTCATTTGAGGAGGTAGTGGGCTTCCCTTCCTTCCTTCCTCTCCCCCTTCCTTCCTTCCTGGATCTAAAAAAATTACACTGGTTATACAGGTTTATTGTAGAAAGATGAGAAAATACAGATGAACAAAAGGAAGAAAATGAAAGTCACCACCCAAAAAAAAAAAAAAGTCACCACCCAGATTTAACCACTATTAAAATTTGAATATGTATCCTTCCAAACATGTTTTCCCATTTATTAACCATTTCTTGTTTTTTTTTTTTAAGAGAACTGAGTTAAAAAAAGAAACAAACTAACTTTCTTGCATTGAACATATTTAACATAGACCATTATAATTGGTTGATTCTTTGGAACTGTTTTCCAATTTGGAAATAACTGAAAAGTATAGAAAATATTAGGCAAAAGTTAACTCAATTTTCATGAACTAGCCACTTATTTTCCTCATTGCTTCTATTTTTTTTTTTTTCCATTATGTAAAGGTAGGGATGAAAGAAGGTAAAGAGGGAAAAAGAAAGTTTGGTGCAGAAACAATGTATAACAATAAGGGAACAAAAATCAGCTAAAATTAAGAGATATTAATATGTTTCAGACCAATTTGGGGAGAAGGAGGGTAGTAGAAAACCCACAGGGACCAACATCTTTGGCCATTCGGGTGTGACAGTGAGGATGGAGCTGGGACTAGTTAAGTCAGTTGTCTGGACTGGAATTTGGTGTTGATGAAGTCAAGGGGATGTGGTTCATCACTGGGTTAAAACAGTGAGTGTCCCTCAAAGGTTCCAATCTCATGGCAGGGACAGTGCTTGAAAACAAATGTCTCACAAATGTGTGTCACCAAAGACAGCTTGGTGAAGGTGGGAATAACTCGGCATAATCCAACATTACTCCCTGGGGAAGAATGCCTTATAGCACAATTTACTGATAAAGTTCATAGTTTTTACCTGTCTGCACATGGTAACTTTGTTGGTTTGTTGGTTTCTTTGAATTACAGTCCAAATTGCCTTAATATTTGGTGCAAGAATATTAGACTATGTCTTCAATTTATGTGAAGGTAAATTTGACTTCCTTGAACGGCTCTCAGACAATCTGCTCCTGAATATCATTTCTTATCTGGATCTTGAAGATATTGCCAGGCTTTCTCAAACATCACGCAGATTTGCGCAGGTAACAGATAATTATTTTGTGTCTATGCGGGTTTTTCCTTGTGCTTCCTCAAAGTTCATCTTCCTCCCTCCCTCCCTCTCTCCCTCCCTCCTTCCCTTTCCTCCTTCCTTCTTTCCTTCCTTCCTTCCTCATAGTTTATTGTTTGCATTCATTTCAGCAAACATCTGTTGAATACTTACTTGATCATGAGCACTGTTCTATGCACAGAGGTAGCAGACATGAAAAGACATTATTCCTGCCCTCAAGAAACTTACAGTCTAACAGGAGAGGTCCTAACAGATACAGATTATTACAGTATAATGTGAGCAGTTCAACAAAGGATGTGTGTATGAGGTACAAAGAGTGCAAGGTGATTTCCTCTGCCAGGCTTCACAGAAGGAGTTATTTTTTCTGGGTTTTCAAGGTAAAATAGGAGCTCACGAGGTGGTCTGGAAGACTAGGGGCATTTCAGGTCGAGGGGAACTCCAAGTTCAGGCAACAGTTCAGGCGGGGGTGTGGCCACACGAAAGAAGGCATCGAGTAGTGAGTCTTCTATCTGTCTCCCTTTCTTCCATTAACAGCCCTTTGCAGAATTATCTAATCACAATGTTGATGGTTTTGGGGAAATCTGCTCATCATAGTGCCCTGTCCTCCTCCATGCCCCAGGCTGAAGAAATAGACTCTCTCACACTGTTTTGAATCCTCAGCAGAATGATGAGATCGGAAGATGCACTTGGTGCGGATTTCACCCAATGACAGGGCCTTGAGGAGAACATTGTTGGTTCCTCTCCCTGTATCCTGGAAGGTGCCTTCGTTCCTGCCCCTTTAGTTATTCCTAAATGCACATATCGTTCTCCCATTCAATGCTTTTTTGGCTTAAATTAATTAGAGTTGGACTTTGTTTGAAACAGAAGAAACCTAACTTGGTATTTAGTTGTAATATACTGGGGGAATGTCCATTTGTAAAAGAGCATGCAACATTTCCCAAGATGAATTAAATCATAATCTTTTTTTTTAAAGACATTTATTCATGGGGTGCCTGGGTGGCACAGTCAGTTAAGCATCTGACTCTTGGTTTTAGCTCAGGTTGTGATCTCAGGGTCATGATATTGAGTAGGGCTCCACTCTCAGCAAAAGTCTGCTTGCCTTTCTCTTTCTCACTCTCCCGCTCCCCTCACATGCATCAGATCCATCTCTCTCTAAAAATAAATAAATATTGGGGCTCCTGGGTGGTTTAGTTGGTTAAGCGTCTGCCTTTGGCTCAGGTCATGATCCCAGGGTCCTGGGACCCTTAAAAAAATCTTTAAGACTGTATTCACCCATATATATATATATATATACATATATACATATATATGTATATATATATATATTTATTTATTAAGATTTTATTTGACAGAGAGAGAGAGAGGGAGTTCATAAGTAGGCAGAAAGGCAGGCAGAGAAGAGAGGGGGAAGCAGGCTCCCCAATGAACAGAGAGCCCGATGCGGGGCTCGATCCCAGGACCCTGAGATCATGACCTGAGCCGAAGGCAGAGGCTTAACCCACTGAGGCACCCAGGCGCCCCTTTATTTTATTTATATTTATTTATGTATTTTTAGGTAAGCTCCAGACCCAATGTGGGGCTTGAATTCAGGACCCTGAGATCAGGAGTCACATGCTCTACTGATTGAGCCAGCCAGGTGCCCCTAATTCATAATCTCATTACCTAAAAGGTCAACACTTTTTTTCACAATCATGCCGTCATATTTCTTGATATATATACATTTAAAATAATATGACCTATATTATTTCATGTATCCTCTTTGAGGATAAAAGCTTATGTTTTTACTTGGTTTTCCCCCTAAAAATGGAGAGCCAGAAGGGAGTATTATAATTAATCGCTATATATTTTTTCCATTAAAATATGTATTAAAGATTTGCTGCTGATAAGAAGCTGATTATTCCTACTGTCAATGAAAAAGAATTTTAAATACATGAATATACTAGTCAGGATCTATTGAAAACTTCTGCTAGGGCCCGCGCTTGTTCCCAAAATGAAATGGAAGGATTTGTCAGAGAGTGGCAGCAACCGCAGTGTCTTGTGCAATTTATTCCTGACGCTGAGCAACTGTCTTCTCCCCAGGTGTTGCTCCCTTCCGCTCTCGATGGCTCCCTCTTAGCGTCCCTTCAGGGCTGTCTTGGAAATACCCTCCATAATTTACCTGCTGCTCTAAAGGAAGCCTTTTCTGGGTTGCTGATTTCAGCTCTCGGTATCCTTGCAGAGCAGAATTTTTTGAAGATGGAGAATGGTCCAGGACTGCTGTGCCTTTTTCTCTCCATGTAATAGTTACTGCTCATTTCTGTCTGCAGTCTATATTTTATCTGTATACTGTTTACTTAGTTTTCACCTACATTTATCAATTACTTTGTTTTGTCTTGCCATTTGCTACCTTGAAAAAAATTTCCATTTCAAATGAAAAGAAAAGAAAAAAATTTCCATTTCAAATTTCTGCAGGCAAATTTATTAGCAAATTATTTGTGTCCAAGTCTAACCCTTTCCTCTGACCTTTGGGAGGGAGGTGTTCCTCTCCTCTGAGAGGCCAGTGCTGCCTGCCACCTGGCTCCAAGGTCTGAGCCAAGGGAATTTAGTCTGCCACTTATCTCCTTTCTCTTTTGGGTTGTTGTTATTTTTAAAAAGCTTTTTTTTTTTTTTTTAAGTAGGCTCCATACCCAGTGCAGAGCCCAATGTGAGGCTTGAACTCACGACCCTGAGATCACGACCTGAGCTGAGATTAAGAGTCAGAGCCACCTAGGTGGCCTTAAAAACCTTTTTGTTTACAAATAGTTTTATTTTTTAAAAGAGATTTTATTTATTTATTTGAGAGAAAGAGAGAGAGAACAAGCATGAGGGGCAGGGGAGGGGGGATGGCAGAGGTAGAGGGAGAAGCAGATTCCTTACTGAGCAGGGAGCCCAAGACAGGGCTTCGTCCCAGGACTCTGGGATCATGACCTGAGCTAAAGGCAGACGTGTAATGACTGAGCCACCCAGGCGCCCCTACAAATAATTTTAGATTTGTAAGTGTTGCAAAGATAATACACACAGTTTGCATATACCCTTCACAGCTTTCCCTAACACTGACATCTTATATAACCAGGGATATTTATCAAAACTCAGCAATTAATACTGATAAAATACTATTATTAACTAAGCCACAGACTTTATTCATATTTCATCAGTTTTTCCACTAATGTCCTTTTGCTGTTTCAGGAACCAGTCTGGCATACTATATTGCATTTAGTTCCTATTTTTATTTTAATTAATTTTTTATTTTTTTAAAATATTTTATTTATTTATTTGACAGACAGAGATCCCAGGTAGGCAGAGAGGCCGGCGGAGAGGTGGGGAAGCAGGACCCGTTAGTTCCTATTTTTAAATCTTTCATTTGTTTTTTCCTCTCGGAAATTTTTTCAAATCAGCCTCATCCTTAAGAACTCAAAAACTCTAGACTCGATTTGCAGCCAATCTCTTTCCTTTTCTCCTTGGGAAAATAAAACAGAACAAAACAAGTTTACAGGGTAGTTCACCCTCAGGAAACTAGCATCATCAGTGGGAGTGGAATTTTATAATCCACGATGACATGAAAACAGTAAGTAAATGAGATATGAAGGGTTTGTTATCAAACCAAGTTTATTCCATTTAAATGATCATCATCATCATCCTTTTTTTTTTTTTTTTTTAATAGTAGGCTCCATATTCAGTGTGGGGCTTGAACTCACGACCCTGTGACCGAGGGTTTCATGCTTTACCAAATGAGCTAGTCTAAATGACCATCCTTTATTGGAGGTTAGGCCTTCCTATTTTGGGAAGAGTTAAAATGTTCCTCCTTCTCCTTCTTCTTCTTCTTCTTCTTCTTCTCCTTCTCCTTCTCCTTCTCCTTCTCCTTCTCCTTCTCCTTCTTCTTCTTCTTCTTCTTCTTCTTCTTCTTCTTCTTCTTCTTTTTAAGATTGTATTTATTTGAGAGGGAGTGAGCAAGTTAGAGGACGAGAGAGCACAAGCCAGGGGAGAGGCTGAGGGAAAGGGAGAAGCAGACTCCCTGCTGAACAGGGAGCCCAATGCAGGACTCAATTTGGGACTCCAGGATCATGACCTGACTGAGCCTCCCAGGTGCCCCCCAAATGCCCCTTCTTTTATGAAATAATGGCCTTAAAACCTGATCATTTTAACAAATTATCCAAACTTGGAAAAATTGAAAAAGTTAGCAATCTTATTTTGGTTCTTAATTTTTGTTTTGTTTGATTTCCAAAAATTTCACTGGTCTTATGACGTCCTAAATTCCCAAAGCCACTAGTCTACTCTCAACCTCCTCATCTTCTTTTCCTCCTCTGCCATGCCTCAGAAATATAACTAAATGTCCCCGGCCTTGTTCACAGTAACCTCTTCGTTGTCACACCTAAAGGGCCTGTTTAGGCCTTCTACTCCCTGACCCATCTTTGTTTCCAGGATTCTCTGCTGGCTTTTCTCCTGGCCGTCTCTCATGCACTGGGCAGTCTCTTTTGGGCTTTTGGCATTTGCTTATACTGTTTCCTTCCCTAGGAATGTCCTGCTTCCGACCCACCTCTCTTAGCTCCCACCCTCTGCTCTTGCTCTCATTCCATGTTGACCCAACAGTGGAGCCTCCATGGATGAGTTCCTGAAAGCCTGGATATTGGGTGGTTGTATTTCTCAGGGTGAACAACAAAGAGGCATCCTCTGGGAGCTTTGCTAAGATGAGCACACCCTCAAAAGGTGAATCTCGTGTCATGGGATACGAGAAAGGCTGCTGAGGGCCAGCTCTGTGATTGACCCAAAGTCCTGCCAGGTAATCTGCCAGGAGGGAACCTGTCTTGGCCCAGGAAGAACCAGGCCTTGATCCTATCCCTTTCCAGAAAACTACAGCAGAGTAGACCCGAAAGAACCTCAGTAGTTAGATGAAAGGGTAAAGCCCAGACACGGCAGGACGATGACGGTGATTGGCATATAAACATACTCATCTTGTTCGTGACTCAGGGACAGCTGCAGACTCCCTATGACTGTGGTTCCCATGTCTGGCCAAGGAGACGAAGCACCTGGGGAGCAGGTGAAAATAGAGATGGGAGGCCCACACCCTGGTCGGTGGGCGGGTCTGAGTCGGAGCCAGCATCTGTGTGTTTGCTTGTGTTTACAGCAACCCAATTCTGAATCCAGTCCAAGAATTTGATATTAAAATGGTACAGATAAAAGGTCTCACGAGACTGTAAAAGGTTGGAAGTTTGGGGGTTGGGGTGGTGGGGTGTTTTCCTAGCTTCGCTGTGTACAGGTATGGGGAGGTGTTTAAATTGGACGAAGACAGAGAGCTGGGTTCTGTTCCCCAGTCAGCCACTCCCCACCAGGAGCCTTGGACAGCATTCTTATTCTTTTTTTTTTTTTTAAGATTATTTATTTATCTGAGGGAGAGAGAACACAGAGGAAGAGGGAGAGGGAGAAATAGATTCCCTGCTCAGCAGGGAGCCCGATGCAGGGCTCCATCCCAGGACCCTGAGATCAGGACCTGAGCCGAAGGCAGATGCCCACCCTACTGGGCCACCCAGGCGCCCCCACCCTATTCTTACAGACCCTTAATTTCTCCATTTTTAAAAGGAGAGTTCTTATCTAGATAAGCCCTCGGATCCCCTTCAACTTTTAGATAGCATCATGTGTGTTAGGTTCATGCACCACCGCCAGGGGGAGCTAAATCCACAATTAGCTGTGCCTTGGCTCACAGTCCCAGGAACCATAGCCAGGACGCATATCTCATGTTTCTCAGCCTGGCATCTACCAAGCAAAGAGCCCCAGGGTTTGGGCATCTTAAATGGGGGCATTATGTAGACAAATTTATAATATAAAACAAGCTGTAAGTATTTCCAGTATAAAATACGAGTCACAAATGAAGTTACACTGGTGAAAGTTTAAGCTCCCTTTTGAGAATTATTTTCTTTCCCTCCAAATCTCATAGTTCTTTTCAATAATTCTTCATTATATGAGGCACACTGATATCCTGAGATGTATCGTGCTGGTAAAGGGGTAGTCATCTACTTTGGTGTTAAGAGTTCAAATTTTTTAAAGGAGGATCGGAAGATCCATTCATTTTTAAATATTAAGACATTTTCTAAGAGTTTCCCTTTGTTGCTTATATTTAGAATATGCTGTGATCTGAGTAGAGAAATTAGACCTTGAAGGATTGTTGAAGACGGGCTAAGATAACAACGATTTGACCAATATCAGAATGCTTGGGGGGCTGTCAATATCAGAAGATTCAGTGTTGCTGTGTCCCGGTAACCTTTATGTGAATGTGTAATACTTTTTGTTTTGATATTTATGCAGAAAGGATCTTAAGTTCTTATGCGTTCTTTTACTATTCATTTCTATTTGTAATTCCTTCTTTTCCCTTATTAGAGTACTTTTAGAGTAGCAGAAAAATATAGAAAAGTATAAAAGTAAAAAGTCCTGGCTGATTTCTGCTTAAAATGAATGTAATGGTGTCCTGAAATAGACATGACACTGACGTGTCTCCCTCTCCGTAGAAGGAAGTTAGGATGCAGGAGAGCAAGGCAGGGCAGAGCCAAGGCCAGGCCCTGGGTGGTGCTAGTGAGAATGCTTGGTTGCCTGGGGCTAGGGATGGGGAGGGGAGTGGGTGTCAGCTATAGGCCAGGTGGGCTGAAATGGTGACCCATAATAGGAGGACAGAAATCAGGGGCACCCACTGTTCCCCTTTAGATGGCTGTTGAATGCTGGGGTGGGTTCCAATTCTAATACTCAGGGCGGGGTGCGTCTTGTGAGGGACAGGTAGAAATGGCGGTAGTAACAGGCAGAGCAGGGCTGTGTCCAGGGCTGGAGCTGACACCAGCTCTGCTCTGTGTGTGTGTGTGTGTGTGTGTGTGTGTGTGTGTGTGTGTGTTGGGGGAGGGGGCTGCCTGGTAATCGTTCAGGCCTTTCTCCCAGAGATAGGGAGGCAGTTGGGCTTCCCCATGACCCAATGTTTGGAGCCTCAACCCTTCGATGTTGCGCTATTCATACTAGTCTGAGCCCACAGGTTAGGGGGTGAAGGCTACTGCTTTCCTCACCTCCCACTGGCCAGAGCCAGTTGCTCAGGGGACCATATGGGACTGGAGATGCTGCCGTCTTGCGCTGTACAAACCGGCTATCCAGAACGGAGCTGCACACACATCAAGATGCATCTACCCACGGGCAGGATCGTAATAGTGTGCTGTCTTGAACACAGAGCCCTGCTTTCCCATCTTCAGCATTAGAAACAAGAGGCCTTCATTCTTTCACTTCTCTTTTTCCGTGTTTCTTGGGACCATATTTTTTTAACGTGTCTGGCATTAAAAACCAACTCAGAACCAAAGACGACATTATACATAAAATACCTTTTGTCTTAGAAACTGAGTTTCTTACTCTCCTTTACCCTCCAAGATGTCTATGTTACACCCTCTTCTCTCTCCTGAAGTCCCCTGCTTCCTCACTCTTAGTTGATATTGTGGCCTCTTATTTCATGGAGGAATTGGAAGGAGTCACCAGAGGACTGCCCTACTGTCCTTTCCCCTCATCCCTCTGTCCATCAACTCTGTAAACTTCCTGTCCCAGGTAAGAAGTTCTCCTCCTTATTACCCAAGGTCACATTTCCACCTGTGTGTTTCAGCTCCTCTGCTCAGCTACTTTGCACATGCAGCTGTCCCTGCCACTAGTTCTACCCCCACTACTGGGTCATTTCCATCAGCACATAAAAAAAAAAAAATGCCTTGACCTGATTCCCTATTCTGCTCTTCAAGCAAAATTCCCTCAAAAGAGTGACCATAAGTGCTATATCCACTTTGTCTTCTCCTGTCCCTTCCTGGACCCACTCTAGCCAGGCATTCAGTCCCCACTCTGCCATGGGAACCTCTTGTCAAGGTTATCATTTGCCCACGATATTACAAAAACACCAATCAGTTGTAAACTCCTGTCTTTTCAGCAGCCTTGAGACACTGGATTGCTGTCTGGGTTTTCTTCCTTATTCTCAGACTCCCTTGCTGGAAACTGTTTTATTTTCGGACTGCTTTCATGTTGGAATGTCCTAGAGCTCTTCCCTGGGCATTTTCTCTCTCTACAGTCACACCTATGTGATAGCATCTAATCCCAGGGATTTATTATTATTTTTTTAAAATATTTATTTATTTGACAGAGAGAGAGATCACAAGTAGGGAGAGAGGCAGGCAGAGAGAGAGGGGGGAAGCAGGCTCCCTGTTGAGCAGAGCCCGATGCGGGGATCAATCCCAGGACCCTGAGATCATGACTTGAGCGGAAAGCAGAGGCTTAACCCACTGAGCCACCCAGGCGCCCCCAGGGCTTTAAACAGTATTTACACACTGATAATTTCCAGACGTGTGTTTCCAGGCCAGGTTGTCTCCTTGAACTTCTGACTTTTAATTAAAAATTAAATTAAATTATATTTATTTATTTTATAGAGAGAGAGAGAGACAGCAAGAGAGGGAACATAAGCAGGTGGAATGGGGGAGGGAGGAGCAGGCTCCCCACCTGTGCTCCTACCTGAGCAGGGAGCCCAACGCAGGGCTTGATCCCAGGACCCTGAGATCATGACCTGAGCCAAAGGCAGATGTTTAACCATTGTGCTACCCAGGCACCCCTGAACTCCTTACTTTTAAGTCTAATTGCATACTCAGTACTTCCACCTAGAAGGAGTATAGACATCGCTGCTTTGACATGCCAAAACCAGACCTCTTGACATCTCCCCGACCGCCTGCCCCCTGCCACATACCTACTGATCAATTCTGCTTCTCCCACAGTCTTATTTTCTCAGTCACTGGCAACACCATCCACCCAGCTGCTCAAGCCAAACAGCTCATCGTTAATTCTTCTCTTTGTTCTCACCTCTCATCTAATTCATTCACAATGAATGTGGGACTCCATTCCAGGACCCTGAGTTCATGACCTGAGCTGAAGGCAGAGGCTTTAAACCACTGAGCCACCCAGGCGCCCACATTTTTATTCTTAAATGAGATCATGACTTGGTTTATTCCATGAATCAAATATGGCTTCGTCCTTCAGGGATTCGTGCACTTGCCTTTCCTCCAAGAGGAGAGGAAGGAGGTGGGAACCGTGTCTGGTGCGCCTTCGTGCCCACGTCACATCTCCTCCAGTATCTCACAGACGACAGGAACTGGAGTGATTCTGTGAGTGAGTAAGTGAGTTGTCCTTATCCCGGGTCTGACATAACCCACCTCTGGCTCTTCCCGCCCACAGCTGTGCACATCGGACAAACTGTGGGAGAAGATAGTGGAGTCCGCCTGCGACACCATCACACCGGACATGCGTGCCCTGGCCGAGGACGTGGGCTGGAGACAGATGTTCTTCACCAGTAAGCTGCAGCTCCAGCGACGGCTTCGCAAGAGGAAACATAGACAAGGAAGCCAGAGAGACAGTCAATTTTAGGGACACGTTTTCTTACCTGCAGCGGGGGTGGGGGTTGAGGCCTGGCGGTAGTTCCCTTTTGTGTCCAAATCTCTTCCCGTTTCCTTCGACTAAGAACTCGGATTTGAACTTGTTGCTTCAAGGAGCCATCGGGAAAGCCTCCTGGGTTTGCACACACAGGCCACCCAACCCGACGAGGCAGGGCCTTGCCTGAACCACAGTCCCCCTGTAGGAGGGTCCAATTCGTGGCCCCCACAAAGGGCTGCGGGACAGGAAGCCGAGACACCTGTAAGAAAAGAGGCTTCTGCTGTACAGAAACAAACAATAAATGATAACTTGCAGATTTTTACTACATATCTGATTTTCTGTAGGCATTTGGAAGGATTTCTGCCTGATAGAGGTGGCTCGGCATCCCCATGGGCAACGGGGAGGGGCAGGGGCCGCAGGAGTCCCGGGGGCACAGCTGCCTTCCCAGCTCTCTTCTCCTCCATTTGAACTCAGGGCCCTGTCATGTGGCCCCTGGGTGCCAGGCTTTGTCCCTGCTTGTGGACAGCCTGGGATCTGGTCCTCCCTCTAAGAACGTGAACAGCTACGCCTTCTACCCTGGGGATTTTTAAGACTACAAGCTGTGGGTAACTGAGTGATAACCCAAGTGCCCTTTGTGATCTGTTAACCTGGAAGAGGGGGTAAAAACAGTACCATTTGAGAGGTGGAAACTCTACATCCCTGAGATGGGCAATTTGCAAATTGTTTTCTTCCTGTGCTTTCTAGAGGATGAAGAATTCCCCCACCCCAACCCCCACTCCCATCACACTCAAAACAGGGAATTATCTGATGACTCTTATGCTACAGAAAAATGTAGCTGTCAACCTCCCATCACTTTATGAACAGTTACCATTTCTTCTTTCCTGCATCCTGCACTTCAGTGCCTGGAAGAAATAATCCATGACCCCCTGCATCCCAAGCAGGGGATTTTCCTGTGATGCCCTGAGCGTCTGCAGGCGCTGATCTCCCCACTCAAGTCCTCCTGAGCGGCTCAAAGCCACGACTTTAGTGCTGGGTTCTTTTTTTCCTTTTTGCTGACCCTGTGTTCGGACCCACCTAGGTTTTAACCCCCCATCCCTTAAAACTCACTCCCTTAAAACTCACTCATAGATTTCCAGCGACATCTGTGAAAGTGAGCACAGTCTGCTTCCTGGCAGCTGAGGAGCCTGTCAGCGTTGTTCTGGATTTAGTCCAAGCACAGAGTGAAGGTTTAACTGGTGAGAGAGCCGGGCTGCCCTCGCCACCCAGGAGGGTCTCTGCCGGGGTGACGCAGGGGAGCGGCTAGCAGGCTGGGAGCGCGCGCTCTTGCACAGGTCCTGCAGCCTTGTTTCTCCCCGAAGTCCCCGACTTCACTCAGGGCGGGAACATGGCTTGACACCACGTGTGCACCACGACCGTGTGTACGCGCAGTTGGTGAGCAACACGACTGCATAAATAGCCCCAGCTCCTTCGCAACATCGATGCAAATATGTCAGCGGCTGAAGCATTTCGTATGTCGTGTTTAATCAACTGAGACTGAAAGCTAATGGGCAGGCACGGCGTTCTAGAGTCAGCATGAATCAGCAGGAACACAAACAAGGCCATTTGAAAACGCTTACTATCTACGGAAAATATAACATAAAAATAGATGCTAACGGTAAATAACAATGAAAAATGAGTTACTGATATGTTGACTATTGCTGATAACAGTTAAAATAACACAGGTTATTAGATTATTCCCGTGATTATTAGCCCTAATAATTTGGGTGCCTTATTACCCAATTATATTTTTTGGTCAAAACAAGCAAAAAAACCAACTAACCAACCAATACCACCAACCTAAAATCCTGCAGGGGACTGGTACCCTCAGCCCTTGAAACACTTTGCCCCTCTTCCCACTCATTTTCCATGTTAGATCCCACGTGGCAATCCCATCCGCTGGAAATAGATAGCTATGGTGTTGTCTCTCTGCCCCGATGGACAGCTTTCATGTGGACGAATTACTCTGCTCTGTGCCTGACATACCATTTCACAGCGAAATGCCACAGCACTTTATAGCCTTGTCCTCTCCTATCTTTCTTTTTTTTTTTTTTTTAAGATTTTTATTTATTTATTTATTTGACAGATAGAGATCTCAAGTAGGTGGAGAGTCAGGCAGAGAGAGAAAGAGAGAGGAGGAAGCAGGCTCCCCACTGAGCAGAGAGCCTGATGCGGGGCTTGATCCCTGGACCCTGAGATCATGACCTGAGCCGCCGCCTCTCCTATCTTTTAAGTCAGAAGTGTTTCTACTTTGCTCTTGTTTCCCATTGTAATAGGAAAAGCAAAATGCTGATATCTTCTGATAATTTATATGTTTAGTGTTATAAGACCAGCTTCTTAAGAGCAAGTGTGAAAATTTATAAACAAAAATAAATATATTTTACTTAATATCAAGTTCCGTTATTGGTTTTTGTTTTTTTCTTTTTTTGAAGAAGTTAGCACAGCAGGTACATTCAACCCCAGTTATAGGGAATCCAAAATGTTGTGCACTGAGTCGACTCAAGGTTGTTTTTTTTTTTTTTTTAAGATTTTATTTATTTATTTGACAGAGAGAGAGATCACAAGTAGGCAAAGAGGCAGGCAGAGAAAGGGGGAAGCAGGTTCCCTGCTGAGCAGAAAGCCTGATATGGGGCTCGATCCCAGGACCCTAAGACCTGAGCTGAAGACAGAGACTTAACCCACTGAGCCACCCAGGCACCCCTTGACTCAAGAGTTTAGACTGAGATTATGAATTTTTAAAAAGATTTTATTTATTTATTTGAGAGAGAGAGAAAGCAGGGGGAGGAGAAGATGGAGAGGGACAAGCAGACTCTGTGCTAAGTGTGGAGCCCAATGTGGGGCTTGGTTCCATGACCATGAGATCATGACCTGATCCATAATCAAGAGTCAGTCGTTGACCTAAGCCACCCAGGCGCCCCACACTGAGATTTTGATTGGAGTGAAGGATGGGAAGCGGGATAGGGACAACTCACTAGCTGCCACTTATCATTGTTTTCCCAGCTGCTTCTGTCCAAAACAGTCACCAGCCCTCATTAATTACCCCAGACTGACTCCCAAGATGCCAAGACTAATACAGAACAACCTTACTAAAAACATAAATATTTGCATGGCATAGTTTTCTGCTCTGAGATTTGGTGGAATGACATTTATCTCAGTTTGTGTTAAGATAATATACTGTGGGAGAATATCCTAATTTTTCAACTCTGAACAGTTGGTTTCAAATGACAATGAGTGTCTTCAATTAGATGTTAAAAACGATGTGTAGGGCTCCTGGGTGGCTCAGTGGGTTAAAGTCTCTGCCTTCGGCTTAGGTCATGATCCCAGGGTCCTGGGATCGAGCCCCGCATTGGGCTCTCTGCTTGGCAGGGAGCCTGCTTCCTCCTCCTCTCTCTCTGCCTGCCTCTCTGCCTACTTGTGATCTCTCTCTGTCAAATAAATAAATAAAAATTAAAAACAACAACAACAACAAACAACGCTGTGTAGACAAGCTACCACCACATGAAAGAAAAACATGCCCCAGTAGTTAGGAACATAATGCCATGTACCAGGTCACTTTACAAAGGAAAACTGATATCTTAGCTTTACATATTTATTGCTTTGAAGCGAAATAGCAGGGGTTTGTCCTCCTAACATGGAACCCTCAGGGCCGGGAGCCACAGAGAACCCCCACGTTTCCTGTTTATTATGTTCCCAGATCTGTGTTCCTTCCACGTAGATCTCCATTCAGAAAAGTAATATTCCATTGTGAAATTTGTTCTGCACATCCAGTAAGTCTTACAGCCATAGATCCATGGTCACATACGGAGTTAGAATAAACTTAGAAATAGTGAAGATAATAATAATAAGAAGAAGGATAACAGCTTCTATTTGTTGAGTGTCTATCAGGTGCCAAGAAACAGGTAGTAACCAACTTCATTCTTACAACAACCCTTGAAGGTAAGTGATTATTTATTATTTCTGTCTCATAGATCAGACATCTCTAAGCTATGGCGTAGGCCTAATTGGACCAGCCACCTGTGTCTATGGAATAACGTTTTATTGACACACGGTCTATGTATTGTTTATGGCCAACCTTCACAGGACAATGGCAGTATTAGGTAATCACAATACAGACTGTATGGCCTGCAGAACTGAAGTTCTTCTCAAAGAGGACAATTTCCCCTAGATTTCATGACAAATAAGTGGTAAAGCTGAGGTTTAAATCTATACCGAAAGTCTGTGATCTTAACCACAAGTGCCACATATCACTTTTTTTGGAGCCAACACCACGTTTGACCAATGGAATTTGAAAAGGTGATAGGATTTACCCAAGGTCATTTGAAATTATTAGGCCCTGAGCACAGTATAAGAGAACATTCCAATTTAGTTGTCCAGAGAATATTCCAAGCTTTTGATGAACTAAATTATTTATTTTTTATTATTTATTTATTAATATATATTTTTAAAATATTTTATTTAGTTATCTGAGAGAGAGAGTGAGAAAGAGAGAGATCACGATCAGGGGGCAGGGTAGAGGGAGAAGTAGACTCCCCACTGAGCAGGGAGCCTGACACAAGACTTGATCCCAGGACTCTGGGGTCATGACCTGAGCCAAAGGCAGACACCTAACTGACTGAGCCACCCAGTTGTCCTTTATTTTTTATTTTTAAAATTTTAATTCCAGTGCAGTTAACATACAGTGTTATATTAGTTTTGGGTATACAGTATAGTGATTCAATAATTCCTTTTTAATTTTTTTAATTATTATTATTTTAAAAGATTTTATTTATTTATCAGAGAGAGAGAGAGTGAGCACAAACAGGGAGATAGGAAGGCAGAGGGAGAAGCAGGTTCCCTGCTGAGCAGAGAGCCTGATGTGAACTCCATCCCGGGACTCCAAGATCCTGACCTGAGCCAAGGCAGACACTTAACTGACTGAGCCACCCAGGCATCCCTAGTGATTCAACAATTCTATCTATTACTTAGTGCTCATCAGGATTAAGTGTCTTCTTAATCCCTTCACCTATTTCCCCCATCCCTCCCCTCCACCTCCTTCTGGTAACTATCTGATTGTTTTCCATAGTTAAGCATTTGTTTTTTGGTTCATCTCTCTTTTCTCCCCTTTGTTTGCTATTTTGTTTCTTAAATTCCACATATGAGTGAAATCATATGGTATTTGTCTCTCTCTGATTGGCTTATTTTGCTTAGCATTATAATCTCTAGATCCGTCCATGTTGCAAAGGGCAAGATTTCATTCTTTCTTCTGGTATATATATATATATATATATATATAT